AAAGTCCCTGTAAAGTAAAAATTAAGTATGTGTTCTGAGTTTGTCACACCACAGAAAAATGTGTTATTAGCCACCCCGACAAATTTGAATGATAAAAAAAGCCGGCAAGTACATAAAATAAGCTATCAAAATCTTGAAAAAATGAGCAATATTCTCTGCTCTCAAACGCTGGGGGCGTGTCCGCTGGCTGCGCTGAAACCACGCCCTCTCGCGGGAAAGCAGCCGACGGTGATATTTGTGATACTGCTTTCGGGACGGGGAGATGAAGGCCGAGGCGGGAGATAGTCGGTTCAACCCCATTCACCAGTAACAGCGGATTATCAGTGAATCCGTTGTCTCCGACGAAAGTTTATAAAACTATCCCTTGTAAAATGATCGCTACAGAGGCGGGTGTTGGCGGTGATCCTCAGCTCTCCATCAAGGTTGGCTCTTCACAAAATTAATCCACCTCTTCTTGATGTGATCGTTTTTAGGAAATTTAAATAAGGACACCGATCTGTTTTGTACATGATCGCATCCAGGTAGTAGCCTACGCATTTCCGTGTCGAAGGCATAGCTAGCTAGCAAACTGTAGGCTGTAGTTACTAATAGTACTGACAGTAAGTCGCGATTGAGTGGCCTCAGTGCGTCATCAAGTAGGGGCGTGTCCATGAGCTCAGGGGCTCCAGTGCGTCATCGAGCCCCGTTTTAGCCCCGCCCAAAAAATCCGGAAAATAGCAATGGTGAAAAACTGTTTAACGGTCTAACTCCACAATTCAGTAATTCACAGTTCACAGTCTTTGTAATATGTTTTAGCAATACATTTCTAACATTTATAATGGGTTTAGAATTTTTTTTTTGAATTGCCTTTACAGGGACTTTAAGTATGATATTAGTTTCATATTGATCAGAGATGACCACGAGAAGGTTCTTAACACAAATGTAGCAAAATGTTGTCAAAATTACAACATTACATTCTCTGACCTAGAATATCTACTGAACTAAATGTGCAAATATTTATTATAAATATTTGACATGAGAGCACACATATCTGAAGATGGCCAAAAAAAACATTATTTTGACAGCAAGGAAAAACACATATTTGTGTGAAAATGGAAGCAAGAAATCCAAAATGATTCCTCTGTACATAAATGTCTGGTTTTTTTTCAGTTCCGTAACCCGTTTTGTCCCACGTCTCGAGAATCAGAGAGTTTATTTTGAAGAATACATTATTCAATTCAGAGCAACTTTGATAACGAGGAGTTTCCACCCACATCACCGCTCTCATTTCCTGTGAGTTGCGCTCACATCATATTCTGTGATGATGTAATCATGAAGTATCTGCCCTGTCATATCAACGATTCTACTTTATTCAGAGCTTCGGTTCAATTTAGTCTTTGAAGAGAGAAAAAGCAGACGTTCACCTATTAGAGCAGACGCCAGAGCAATGCCTTCTGATTTTTGTATGCTGATATTTGATTATGCAGAAAGAGAGAAGCAAGAGCAAGAGAGTGAAAAATGATGTATGGAGAAGAGGAAAACTGATAGAGAGGGAAAAAAAAAATCAAATCACTTCTTGAAAATGTTCCAATAATCACTAAAGCGCTCCAGCAACCGAGTTGGCCAAAAATAGATTGAATTGAAAGTTCTCTTGGTATTTTATGACGAGAGTAGCTTGCAACAAGGGTCGTCTGGAGAACTTTTCTTCACATGCTTTTGTTTATATTGGTAGGTCTGACAAACCTGCAATATTTTCTTCTCAGTTTCAAATGTAGACTGAAATATTGGGTGTAATAAAAGGTGATGGGCTCGCATCCTGATGAATCGATGATGGGCTAAGAGAGGAGAGGAGAGCCTCTGAAAATTATGGCTTCTTTTCTCTAGTGCCCGGGGCAAGCAGATTTTCAGCTGTGCTCATAAATGTAAAAAAAGAAACAGGCTGTATTTTTTATTTATGTGTAGAAAACAGATATGCAAACCAAACCAATCCAGCCTGGATGTGGTTTTACATTCAGTACCTCTGCACTGACGCTGTGTCTGTGGCGGGGGAAGCACCATCCATCATTGTTTGTGTTGGAGCTCATGCATGTTTGGTCAGATGAACCATTTCACACACTGTAGATCAAACTTCAGCTGCATACATATACAGACACACAGGTAATTTTACATGCCAATAATTCCACCGGCCGCCGTATCTAGTCAAGAAGATGGTATAATCCATCATGTGCTAAAGACATACACCCTCACAGTCGCTCACAGCTACACTAGATCACAGTTGCCCTAAGACTACATGCTACTAATGACTGCAATACTCAAACACACTTCTCTGATTGAACGCTTCTTTCTGTAGTGAGCGTAATTGTCTCTATCTGCAGCCATATCACAAGGAATCACATTTTCTTGGATCTTTTGAGATAAAATTGCTTGAAGTGCTATGAAACATACTGTAACTTGCTCAAACCTTACTAGTCAAGAAAGAGATATTATTCTTATTATTGTTTTGTTTTTATTTTATTAAAGGAACAATACCTTTAACAATATCCTTGATTATTTCAGTGTATCTTATTTTAATATGAACTGCAACTTGCAGAACTCAAACCCAGTCAAGAAACAATCTTATTTTGTTATTTTATTACTTTATTTTATTTCATTACTGGCTGTGGATTATGAATATTAGTGTACATTTAACAACATCCCTGATTATTTCTCTTTGATCTTAACTGTTTATGTGGCATGTTTTAGTGCAAATTATTTAGCTTTGCAAAGATGCTGTCAATGAAGCAGTTAAACAGTGTTTTTTTATTTTTTATTAATACGTTTTTTGGGGGGGATCAAACCCATGCTCTACCAGTCAGCTACAGTAACACTAGAGAGAGCAGTAGAAACTAGAAATGGTAGTGTAAAGCTAAAATCTAACTGTTTCTGGTGAAAAAATAATTGTATTTATATTAGGATTTACATTATATTGTTCTTCTTATATTATTATTCTATTCTAGATATCTTTATATTTTTATACATGAATAGTATTAATGATAGTTGTTATTTTATTCTATTAAGATTTATCAAAAATGACAATATTACTATACATTTTTGCCCTGAGTTCCTGTCATGTTAGTAAAGCTTTTTTTCATTATTTATTTATTATTATTAATTATACATTTGAAATATTAATGATTATTATTATTAACAATAATAATTTTATGTAAGGGTTGAAAGAAATTATGTGGAATTGCTTGCTGGATGTGTGGTAAATTAATATAATATAATAATAAAATAATAATAATCAGATTCCTGGCACGCATACTCTTTATTATCAGCGGTAGTGTTAGGATGTAAACGTTTTTTGTCTTGCAGGTAATGCGAACGCCATTATGGCAATTGTGACTGACTGCCTGTTAAAAGCTTGGCAAAGGATAACCTAACTGTATACGTAACCATTGCTTTGTAAGAGGGTTGGGGTGTTGATGCATCCTGTCGCTGAATTAATCATCATCTAACATAAGCGATCTCTCAAGAGGTTGTACGCTGCTTTCTTAGCCATCTGTCTGGACTTACAGAGGGGTTTGTGGAAGATCTGCAGCCCACCCTGATGCATCAAGCTTTTTTCCGCTGACACGTCACTGCTAGGACATGATTCACTGTCGCAGGTCCATATCCAACATATTGCACTGGCTTGATGAGGCCGTGTATATAGATTCCTGTTTATGCAGGTGCAGGATAATAGAGAAACATTGAACAATGGCTGCAGTGTGCAGCTTCAGCAGAACTTGGTCCCCATCAGTCTGCTAACAAGGGTGATGCCTCAGTCTACAATATTAGTAGGGAAACTAACAGCTCAGCACCGTAAAAATCCATTTATTCTGTCAAAGCTGTGGGCTACTTCCAAATACAGAGCGTTGTGGTGTTATATGGGAGACGCTAGTTTGAATCTGGCCTGCGTTGCGTCATGATTCTGTTTCTCTCTCTTTGGTGCTTATTTTCTGTCCTGTTAAAATGACTATATCAATTTTTTATGGCTAAAACGTTTTTAATGATGGAAAAACGACTGCAATTTTTTAACATCACCACTTCAGTCGTTCCTCACCGTTTGTGCTATAATTATGAGATTAATTCATGCGGCATGCTGAGGAGAGCTGTACTATTACTTTTCTTAGCGATCAGGCTTGCAATTTTCACCCGGTAGATGATAGACACAGCAAAAAAGAAAGAAAAACCATGAACTTGCATTGAAGAAGGGACCTGAGTAAAACCCTGTGATGATTGTGGGATTTTAAATGTGATTTACAAGAAAAAGAAAAAGAGCTTCAGGTTTGCTGTGCTTATTTGTAGGGTTGCACAATTTGGCCAAAAATATTGAGATAATATACTAACGTGACTATTATAAATATAATTAGCAGTAAATAATAAATAAATCAAATAAATATTATAATAATTACTCATAATTATTATTGCTAAAATTAAAAATAAGAAATATTACTAATTGCAATATTTGTAATCTGTGAAATATTTAAGAAAAATTAAATAATAATTGAATTTTACAATACAACTTTGGAAGATGGTTGGTGCATGTCGTGTTCCCAAATGCACATTATAAGCGCCCCAAACTGAGTTCATGTGGAGCAGCATTTACTGTGAACTGAGCCGCTCTGACACACTGAAAAAACATGCATGGCATATATTTATTTAATTAAATCGTAGCCAATGTCGCAGTCATATCAAGATTTCAATTTTGTTTTGATTAATCATGCAGCCCTAGACCTGAGCCATAGTTACGGACTGGAATTACAGACATGGGTTAGTAACCACCTAGCAACCACCTTGAACACCCTAGCAACCACATATAAATGTGCTAAAAACCACTCAGAACAGATTAGCAACACCCTGGCAACCAGCCACAACATTCAAGCATTGTGGCAGAGAGTTTGGCACCACTGACGTTTTCTTAAAAAAGATTTGATTGTCATCCTGGTGTTATTGAAAGCTCAGCTGACATTTATCTAAACTCTTTGTCCTTCATTCAGGTCAGCTGGTGGCAGGTACATGTGAAATCGTGACTCTGGACAGGGACAGCAGTCAGCCAAGGAGGACCATCGCCCGGCAGACGGCCAGGTGTGCCTGCAGGAAGGGCCAGATTGCCGGCACTACCAGAGCCAGTCCAGCATGTGTGGAAGGTAAGAATGAGGAGGGGCTGAGGTGGGACTCATCCAGGCTTTTGGTGCCACTGCCTCTAAGCCCACCAGAGCAGGCATAGCTGGGGCTTTCAGATTCCAGAGTGATCCATGAGATTACACTGCTCAGTGAGTGTGGCTGAAGTGTCAGTCACAGGATTTGGAATGTTGCTGCAGGTTTCATCAGTGCCGTGTGACGAATGTGTTACGAGTTGACGGACGCTGGGGAAATTTAGACTTGTGAGATTAGCTCCGAGCTGCCGCGTGTTATTTAAACAGCAAACTTTTCCAAACACAAATGACAAGTGAATCTTGACTACATGTTGTCATATGAACAAACTTGAGTTTCCCAAAATCTTTAAATACACAAAGCTGCATTAGGATTCAAACATAACTGAAAGACAAGCAGTTCAGTAAATTAGTCAAATGTTAAAGTAATCAACGTAATGGATTCAGTGAATACAAACCAGTAAGTCAATTCATTAAATGAAGTGGCTCATTTGAGTCAATTGTTCGTGAACCAGAATTTTAAGCCTCGTTCACACTGTCAGTCCAAATCGTATTTTTGTGCATATCTGATTGAAATCCGATCAGATTTAGCATGCGTGAATGGCAAAAAAAAAAAAATCACATGAAATTTCCGTCTCGAGCTACATTCATATGTGGTTTGAAATCCTTATTAAAATCGCATTTCTGGAAAACCATGGTTTATGTGACTTTCTCACGCCACGTAAAATGTAAACGTCCGACTTTGCTATAGTTACAGGTTGTGTTGTTGTAAAGTGCCTGAAGTCCAGTGCTATTTATTAAATTTACTGGCTCATATCATAATAACAAATCATTCATTCACAAATTAGACTATGTTAGTTGTACTGTACGTTATTTTTTATAGTACTAAACAAATGACTTTAACTACCGTTTGCCATATGAACAAACTTAACTTTCTCAAATCTTTAATGTAAATGAACCAGCTTGTGGAGCTGTAAAGTGAACACAATGGAAAGACGTAATACTGGCTCTTTTATTTCCGCTTGTTGCTGAAGCTTTTTTAATGTGATTCAATCGATTGAATTTGTCCACTTGAAGCAAATGGCACCACTTAATTGAGAGCTTTTTAAAATCTACTTTGCACTTGTACTGTACATTTGTTGCATTCCCTTTTCCCTCTATTTAGTTTTAGTCTTGCATGGACTGGTTTTCAGCGTGACCTGCACTTATCTTCATGTGGTCGTATGTCTTCTTGTCTTCAGTTGTTGCTATGACACCCGAGTAATTTCAAGACATATTTCTTAAGGTAGGAGTTTGTTCGTGGCCAGATGAAAGTAGGTGTTCTTGAGTAATTGCTTTTGAAAGACACAGTCCTCCGTGTTTCTACGACCTTACATCACCTGTAGTGGGCTACACCACATGCCAATCAGTAGTAACCATGGCTGAAAAGATTTCGTAAAAGTGCAAAAGCATGATAAAATAGCACAGAATCCAGGAAACGATAAAGATGAAAAAATAAAATTAGTGTAAACAGAACAATGAAAGTAGAAAATAAATGCTGTGGATTTCAGTAATTCCTCATTGCCGTTATTGGAAAATTGTCTTATGGCTTACAAATTGACAATAAAAATCAGTCACTCTACGCTGGCATTTTCTAACAAGATAGCCGGATACAATTTCTCCATTGGTGCGAGCAGAGGTCTTAAGGCTTTGGCCTTTCAAAAATGCAGTTATATCATAACAACCGATGGTCAGAATGCTCTTCAGATATAAATTTAAGCCTTAAAAAGAAAATCTCAGTGTATCCAATTGACAATTTACCCCCTGCATGTGAAGACAATCTTTTCTTGAACAACACAGCTCCCTCAATATTTCCTCAGTTTGTTTGCTGTTTAACTATTTACGCCACTCGCTTTTAATTTGGTGTAATTTGGCTCTGCAAGCTATTAAAGAATTATTGATTTCTTCAATCGTTTTGTTTCTTTAGAAAAAAAGCTTCTGCTAAATATAGCCAGATCTCTTCAAAATGAGGCAAGGAGGCTGTTTTATCTTGTTCTGTGCCCCATGGCTTTATCTGATAAAAGGCAGGCAATCAGACAGGTTTTGATACTGAGAAAGAATAGCCGTCACGTCTGCCATTATGTATTAGACCAAAGACCGCCAGCTTTAGCTGCATGACAGCAGGTGCTGAGTAAACAAGCCCTGATGATGGAAGGTGAGCAGACTTTTGTATTTAGCACATTGAAGACCAGTAAAACAAGATGACACTAGATCACACCTGACTCAGTGGTTGTGCATGGCAAAGAAGGAAAAATCGAAAACTAAGTTTAAAATGCATGAAATGGCAAGATCTTATTTCAATTCTTTATACCATTTTTAAGAAAACTATCAATTTAATGACTCTGGTAGCCCTTAATTTTTTTTTTCAGTGTCCTTGTTACGTGTTACATGTACTTACTGTAGTAATAACAGTAAATTATGCATAATACATGCAACTAACCTAAACCAAACCCTTTTTCCTAACCCTAACACTGTAAGTACATGGTGTTAATTAATATTACTTAGTATTTAAAAATATCAGTTGTACGTCAGAATGTACTATTGGCCGACGCTGGTCATGTGTGTGATGCCTGTGACGTCCAACACAGAAGCGCTGCGCTGTTAAACTACGTGAACTCACTCTGAGGCCCACAGAGAAGGAAATGAATAGTTTAATAAGGTTGTTATTTTTTGGGGGTTTTGCTCACAAAAAGTATTCTCGTCGCTTGATAAACTCATGGTTGAGCCACTGTAGTCACTTGGACTATTTTAACGATGTTTTTACTAACTTTTCTGGGCCGGCAAGTTTCAATAACATAGAAGCCTATGGAGGAGTGAGAAAAATATCTTAATTTGTATTCCGAAGATGAACGAAAGTCTTACGGGGTTGGAACAACATGAGGGTGAGAAATTACTGACATAATTTTCATTTTTGGGCGAACTAACCCTTTAAGGGTGCTTTAAATTGATCAAAAGTGACAGTAAAGATATTTATAATGCTACATTTCTAGAAATCTTTGTGCAAAAGATGTCATATTATGTTGTTCTTTTGAAATTCAAAGAATCCTAAAAATCCCAGTTTCCACAAAAATATTAACAATAAAAAAAATTTTTTTTAGCAACAAATCAGCATATTAGAATGATTTCTGAAGGATCATGTGACACTGACTGGAGTAATGATGCTGGAAATTCAGCTTTGCATCACAGGAATAATAATACAAATAAATGTTATAATTTTAAATTTTAAGTGGTGTTCAATATAAAATTAAGTACTCACACAGACTGAACCAAGGAAAAAACAACATTCTTTGGCGTGAAACCAGGCTGGAATTATGTTTAATTCATGTTCGTAGCATAATTACATTTTCACTTGTACAAGTACACTGACAGGTCAGTTCTAACTGCAAACCGCCCCCATGTAATATGAATAGCAAGAAAAGCAGAGCCGAAAACACATTTGCTCTCTGGAATCTGTTAAAATGTCTTGGGTATAATGACATCGACATGACAATTAAAATGAATTTATCATCAAACCAACAGGAAATTAAACCGTCATGAAGTTTTCATGTAGAACAGAATCAAAGTGGCCTGGAAAGTCTGGCATCAATATCAAATCAGACTGAAAAAGCTAAGCGAGAGGCGGCTGCAGCATGTTGGGACTCAGAGGGACTGCGGATTCTGCCTGGAAGCGGGCGCGAAGTGACAGCAACAGAACCCAATTCCCTCAGCTGGTGGTAGCGAGGAGGTGAGAGCCGACAGCTGGAATATGCCCCGAAAACTATGCGGAAAGTCAGGGGAAGGAGAGCATTTGAACAATTAGACGAGGTGATTGTCAGCCAGGTGTCAGGATAATCAAGTCCCGCTCACTGAGCACCTGCATTAATTCCATATCTTTTGACTCCTCAATCGAATTCGGAATGTCAGTCCAAGGATTAGTAATGTTTCCCTAGTCGCACAGTCTAGATGGATGTGATAGGTCAGGGCTGACCCCAGGCAGCCAATTCAAAGCATCTGCCTCATATCGCTGGTACTATGCGGCAGCATTACAAATGGGATACCGGCTCCCCAAAACATTCGGGAGTGGCTAGAGAAGTTCCACGCCATCAATCAAGATACCCAAGTCAAGATGGAGCTCGTTTCATCTGGGAATATCACGTCGGGAACACCAAAAGCTAGAATTGCCATTCACATTCTTTACATTTTAATATGGGTTGCAGATCCTGGCATGGCTTTATATTTTTGAAAGGACAGATAAGGACACAAAATATATTGTTGTTTGGCTCACCCACTAAATAAATACAGACTTGACATAAGTGGTCCCACTAGAAACTAATTATATAATGCATCCTCTGTGTTTCCACAATGCTCTAAAAATTAGCATGCCCTGTGATGAAGTGTCTGCAGGTGTGCCCATGATAACACAGATTACACAGACTCTCCGCCTTGACTCCTCATATATTATTTTACACAAACATCCTCTCACAAAAATACCTTAATTTCCCTTTCTAGAAGCAATTAAGTGAGAACCAGCAGTGCACACATATCTGTGTATTTGGTGATTAATCCAAGAGTATTATTCTATTTCATTATCAAAGCAAGTTTCATGATGGTGTAATGAAATGAGAATATTTATAGAATATGTAAATATAAAATGACTACAAAATATATTAGATTATACAATAAATTGAATTTTCAAAACATTAAAATGCTATATTAACAAACACTAAATATTACGTTACATTCAGTTACAAATCATATTTATTAATATTATTATTAAACAATCACATTAGGTTTATAATTTATTACAAAGAAACTGTTGCAAATTTGCAAATAAATAAATGTAATTTTGAAAACATTAAAATGTTATATATGAATAAATACTAAATATTGTGTGTATACATTTGATTATAAATAGTATGTATTAATATTATCATTAAACAATCAAATTATGTTTAATGTTGTAATTGTAATTTTTTTATAATAATTTAAATATAATTTATTACAAAAACTGTTTCAAATTTGTAGTATGCACATTACAAAGAAATGCTACTAATTAAAGTACACACACACACACAAAAAAAAATCTCTTGATTTTGAGTTGAATATGACTGAAAGTAATAACTTGTTTAGAATGTTTATTCAGTAACTGATTTGGGCTGCATTTCCCAAAAGGATTGTGAGCGAAGTTGATCGTAGAGATCGACGTCGATTCTCCAGATTTCTCTTTCAGAATTGAGATTTTTCTTTATTCAGATGCATTCAGACTGATTTAAACCAATAACTTGTGAGCCTTTTTGACAAATTCATATAAGATTTATGAATTTGTGAATCTGATTACACTGATCGTAGTGTCTGTTTGTTTTTGAGTGGAATATGTGCAATAAAAGATTCAGTAGTGTTGTGAAAAGCGGTGCAGGAAATACTGGTGTAATGTCATTGTAAAAACAATTGGCGCAAAACAATAGATAGAAAATATTAATTGTTATTCACATCCAGTTTATTATCTAGGCAATTTATGACATAAATCCCCTCACTGATTGCATCACAGCGGGGGTCTTAACATTGAGAACAGAAGGGGCTCGGTGAAGAAACGGTTTGGAATGTAAGCTCATGAATTCATTATAAAGAAGAGTATGTGCTACGTGTAAATTATGGACATTTCCTGTGTAAGCAAAGCTGATCTGAATACTAGTGTGTGCCATTACTGTGAATGTTAAACATATAGAATTCTCAAGCAGTGTCTGCTGTAAAAATGAATGGACAGATGTTTGATGTTCTCCTCTGTGCCAAACGTTTGAGTAATCGCAGTCCGCTGCAATGAGCAGCCCATCTCATTTATTGTCCCGATAAATCTTGAGTCCGGCCTCTGCATCGGTCATCAGTCACAGCTAAAGTCTTAACTGGGGCAGGAATGACAGGGCCTTGAGGACTGGATCTACCTTTCCTCGGGACATTGTGAAGACCCCATTATAAAAAACTAATTTAGATTTTTTTAAAACACCCAGAATTTGACCATTACACTGCTTGCATGCAGGGTCAGGCAAGATATTCACAATGATGTTGCTGGAAATATAAAAATTAAACAATATTGTGATGATTTTATTTGTCAATTAAAATAAATGCTGAAATAGTGTCTCTGAAAAAGCAACATTATAAATTTGATTCATTTTTGTGAATCAGTTTCAACGATTCATTTCAAAAGAATCAAATCTTTGATTCAAATGATTCATTTGTAACATTCCAGCTTTTTATTTTCTAATTGTAGGCTAATATTCATTGTGATTGGTGTTCTTTAAATCAATTTGCATACTGATTTGTGATTAGTCATTTCTTTCTTGCATCTGCTTTTACACTGCAAAAACAATGTCATTTTGTGGGTTTATTCTCACCAACAGAACGTCTTAAACATACTATTCCTGCTCTGCCTTTCAAGCACTGATATTTCCTTCAGAAAATGCAAATATATATATCATTTTGATTAACGATTAAATATTTGTGAATTGCAGAGCCACGGCTGAAAAGACCCACTACATATTTTATGTATACAAAAAAAGGGTGTGATAATGGAGGTATTCAGTGATCTGTCACAATTTAGATGCCATCTGTACCAGCATGAGAGATGCATGAGTAGTTAGCAAGAAAGACTTCTCGCAAGAATCGATTGCAGGGATTACTTTGATATTTGTTTTTGCCTTTTTCTAATTTAAGTCCCAACGTGTGGATACTTCAAATAAACAGATTACAATTCAACAGATTCAATTTCCAGCATCTAACAATAAAAGGAATTTGTAATGCAAATCTGTTATAGTCTTTTCATTCATTCGTTTATTTATATAGCACATTTAATGCAACAGCTGTTGCCCAAAGTGCTTCACAATCACTAATAAAACACAAAAATACGAGTTATATAAGTACAAGTATATAGTAGTCTGAGGTGTTTCCCTTCAGAATCGGATAAAAGCATATCATCTGAACAATGTTACATTTTGCTCTCAGTATGCAACTTTAATTTTACTTTTGTGCCCCTTTGACCAAAACCTCCAAGTTCCCAGAGTTCTTTGATGTGTTTCGGAGAGGCACTTTGTGCACTCTGTCATAGTCTGTTTGCCATCAGTGGAGTGCCAGTCTCAATGCTCAATACCAGGAGACAGGACAGCTCATTAGAGAGCGAGTCTGAGAGCTTACGTGTTGTGCTGACAGGACTCTCTTCAGCTGTTGTTTGTGGATTTGTTGACTTTAGTTCTTTAAAGTGTTCAAATGTTGATGATCTGTCATGTGTCATGCATCATTGAAGGCTGGAGTGATCTAATGTCATTCCAGAGACAAGCAGGGAATGAGTTAGAGGTGGGATGTGGGGGGGTTTCGGAGTAGCTGAGTATTTTACTGTGAAAAAAAGGGTTTTGGGGGCATCATTAATACTGTATGTTGGCTTGACAAATCCCTAATGCAAGACCAGACGTTTATAAAATGTAACGGCTCCTAGAGCTTTTCAGCTTTTCATGTCCTTCAGCCTGACATGGGATGCTATTACTTTAGATTCTGATCTGACTCACGGTTTTCCCTGAGAGAAAATTGTATCAAAAATCACACATACTTCCAATGAAGATCATGGACTATAATTCAATCTATTTGTCTCTCCCTTCATCCCTCCATCCATCCATCCATCCATCCATATCTATCTACCCATTCATCAATCTATCTATCCATTTATCTATCTATCTGTCCATCCATCCATATCTATCTACCCATTCATCAATCTATCTATCCATTTATCTATCTATCTGTCCATCCATCCATATCTATCTACCCATTCATCCATCTATCTATCCATTGATCTATCTATCTGTCCATCCATCCATCCATCCATCCATATCTATCTACCCATTCATCAATCTATCTATCCATTTATCTATCTATCTGTCCATCCATCCATCCATCCATATCTATCTACCCATTCATCTATCTATCTGTCCATCCATCCATCCATCTATCTGTCCATCCATCCATCCATATCTATCTACCCATTTATCTATCTATCTATCTATCTATCTATCTATCTATCTATCTATCTATCTATCTATCTATCTATCTATCTATCTATCTATCTATCTATCTACTCATTCATCTGTCTGTCTGTCTGTCCATCCGTCCATCTATCTACAACTTTCAAGGTTTTTTAAACTATTTAAAGCATTCAGGCAAGGCTTTGTCAAAACAACAAAGTTGTTTGTCTTGACAAACTTTACTTTTTTGCACTAGTTTTAACCATACTCTGTTCAAGCCCTCAAATCAATATGAAACCAATCAAGCCAACCAACCCGCATCCAACCCTGAATTAATATTTAAAAAATAAAAAATACATGTAAGACTGATGTTAAATAGTATGCTAGACTCAAAGTGTAGATTAGAGCACCACTGGCTGCATCCTACGGTTTTGTGAATCATGCCTACAGAATGAAGACGTACCAAATTTGCATGAAAGGCTCTTTTATTTGTCGTTATGGCCCAGGGCATAACAGTGAATACTAATGCTGGAGATTAGTAGCGGAAGCTAGTCCCTAGAGTAGACGCTGTGAGGGAAACATTCACTACATAACAAACTACTTTCAGTTTGGAAGCCATCTCTACAACTATTTTTTACCTTTAAGAACGTGCCTTTTCCTTTGGTGAGAATGACATTTCGCCTCCATTTGTGTCTACTTGTTCTCCAAATACTTTGTTAGCCTTTCTCCAAACGTACAAATTCTGCCACCCTGATATTTATGTACTTTTGCTTCCCTGGGTTATATTTCACTCTGATTATCATTTTCTCCACCTCACAAATGTACTGTTTTTTTCCTCTCTCTCTCTGTTTCATTTTCTCTCAGTTTCCCTCCTTTCCTCCCTCCCTTTTTTTCTCTCTCTCTCTAAGGGCCAATTGGGGTGTCACGGTATGCAAATGAACATGTAAGGGTGCCCTAGTTATTATAAATAGACATTTATGTTTGATTAAGTGCAAAAACAATCTTACCTCAGGAAAAAATTCTCACTGTTGGACCTTAGCGATCTGTTTCAAAGAGAAAGGCTTAGGATATTAGGCCAAGTGCTGGAGCTCTTTTCTTTCATTGCTATTTTCCTTTGTTGCATGAAATGTCTTTATTCTACAATGTCTTGACCTCTGAATGTCTTATGTCATATCACTCATATGACAATTTTATATTTAATAACTAAACTTGACCTTAATGGCATTCATATATAATGATATATATATAATAGATGAATTTCCTCTGATATAATTTAAATTCTTTTGCATTTCAGTTGCACCAATTGGCAGTCATATAGAGACCACGCTTTGATTAAAATAATAGCTAATAAATAAGGTTGTTTAATTGCGTTTAATTTCAATTTAATGTGTCTTTTTCACAAAGAAATCTATAGACTTACAGAAGTAAAATAGGTTGCAAATGTTGTTCTGCGTATTTAACTTCCTCTTCATATTTGTTTTCCTCTTCTTTTAACAGCACATATTGTCAGGAGCAGACAGTGGTGTGAGATGATGCCTTGTTTGGATGACGAAGGCTGTGACCTATTGGTAAACAGAACGGGCTGGACGTGTGCACAGCCGGGAGGCCGAGTGAAAACAACCACAGTAAGTGCCACAAAACAAAACAACAACTCAGGACATTGACTTGCTTGTGAAAAAAGGCTAATGTCATGCCAAATACCCCAATGGATTAACAATATGTTTCCATCCACCTATTTGTATACGCATTTTGGGATATCGCATAAAAACTGCTGGATGGAAACTTTTTTAAATTCTAAAAATGCGCATAAAAAAGGTAAGCGCTCGTTTGAGTCGGATACATTTTTTATCCGATAAAAAACATGCACAGAAACTACAATGGAAACGCATTTACCGAATAAATTCCTCGAAGCACATCAAAATTAAATCATGTGACTTTGCGATGGGATGGTGTAACTGGACTAACCAGTGAACCAATCTTTTTGGACAGCATCTGAAGTGCTGTTTTGGTTGTTCTGAAATGCCAGAGCAAAGTCTGTCGTCAAAGTGTTACGGTATGATAACCTTCCAGAACTGTCTTACACGACTGCATTCCCAAACAGCAGGCACCTTTCTCCAAAATGTGTTTATTGCATTCAGTCTTTGTGCTCTGAGATGCAAGTAATTTATTATATACAAAAATTATTATAAACAATGGCTTCTCCAGCTTTTATTATATATTTAGTGGCAGTTTACCAGGATCCGAAGATTTTGATCTCTTCGACTTCGAAACGCTGCTTTATTCGCAAATGTTTTATGCGAGATTCTCATTATGCGCATAAAGTTAAATTCGCAACTTTATATAGAAACATATTGAATGATGGCCAACGTTTTCCATGATTATGTGTAGTAACTTGTGCAAGATTTGTTATCTGAGCAGGTTAACCACTTAGCTTGTTAACAGCAAGATAACAGACAGAATGACATATTTGTTGTTTTAATTATATAAATGTATGTGGTAGATCATTTAAAAGATGTTAATTGATTTATTTTGATGCTTAAGACTACAATCAAAAAGCTATTTTACAGATTTCTAATTAGATACTGAAAAGAATTTAGCCGTTAATATCACTGACATCAAGAGGGCTTATTATTAAAATTAAAGAATACATTTTTGCCTTTCCACACCTTGAAGATTTGTCTATATCCTTGGTTAGAGTCCAACAAGGGTTGGATTTGGGACAACACCATGGACCTCTCAAAATGCATAAGTGGTTGTGTTATACACCCTAACTGTTGTGTTGTTAAATCCCAGGTATCCTGACGCCAATGGGGGAAGATTTTCCCAAGAGAGGTGCAACGTATGGAAGAACCTCGTCATTCTCCAAAGCTACAGCGGTGCGGGGGAGGGGAGCATTCATCATAGTCCTGTTAGCCCTGTTTGTCAGTCTCTCCATTAGTCCTTCAGTCTCATAAGATAAGGGGTGAGGACCTCTCGTCATGGAGTTTACGTGGACCGTGAGGAATGGATCCCCCCGTGCTGTCAATCAGAGTTGGAACCGGCCAACGCTTTGTTTGCCGATGCCAAAACGGGCAAGTGATCAGTGCGATGACGAATGCAGGATAGTTTGCGACTTGAATCGTGAAAAGTGTAAGGATCTATTGATATTTTACAGACCAAAGAAATGCGGACAAACAATTTCTGTGGGGAAGGATTTCCAATATGAACACAAAATACACACATCAGCTGCTTCAGCTTCGAGAAACGCAAGCAAAAAAAAACACATACCTGAGCTTTGTAAGGAGTTTTTCCAACTGAGCACACGCAAAATAGACAAAGACTTTTACGTCAAAACTGTTGACTTTTCTTCTATTGCAGTTCTGCTACCACTGTTGTGTAATGGACTGAAATCAGTCAGGATTTGGAAACGTAGCGAGCGCGGCTGACGATTTGTCGAACCGAACATTATCTACCTGACCTGAAGAGACTAGCGGAGACTTGCGCTTCGTGAAAGACCACCCTATGTATTTTCAGAGTCATAAAGTTATATATATATTTAACAGTTTTATATGATGTACCTTTGTAGCAAACCTTATTTAACACTGACAATGTGATCCTATTCATAAAGGGTGAATTGAAAAACGTTATGTCCTGGAAAGTTATTTACGCATTGCTTTCATCGCAGATGAATATAGGAAGGAAAATAGTGTACTTGTGTATTTGTGAGTAAACTTTTGTTTTGTAACAACATTCAACAATATACACACACACATAAAAAGCAACTGTAACCCACCTTGACAAGGTTATTTACATCAGTATACAGCTATGGGTCAATTGTGTTTTACCGCAGAGATTGTACACTGGTAAATTCATCTTATAAAAACTGTTTATGTGTCAGTCCTTCTGTGATATCTGTCATATCGAGACGGTCACCCCATTAAGATAATGGCCCTTATGAGATAATGGCCCGTCCGCCGCAACGAGCGCCGTGTCCTGCGTGGTTTCTCTTAGACCATTACTCTGCCCTTGTTGGCCCCTCTCCTCCTCTCTCAGCGCCGAGCCTGTGGAGGAATGCTGCTGTCAGCCAGGCTTCAAGCTTCATTTAACATCACTAACAGCCTGCATTACACACGGCGTCTCTCAGCTACAGCCGCAGTGCCCCACAATATCACCCCCCGGCCCAAAACTACCCTGAGTGTTTATGAGGGTTTGAAGGAGAATGATGTTGGCTTTATTGAGGCTTTTAATATGATCTTAACAACTTGCATTAATCATTTTCTTTGGTTGTATGTCACTAAATGTGGCCCTTCATACTTAAACCTGAAGCTAAAATATGCTAAAATACTTTCTTCTGTCTCATTTTAATATGCAGAGACAACGAAGTAAGCCATTTGTAGGTTGATTTCCCTGTAAAGTGTTTACAAAACATTTTTTCTGTTTGCTTGAGAATCGCGACCAGCCTGAAACAGCGGCAGTGGCTCAACCAATGGCGCGAGTTTTCGCCGGAGCCATCTTTTTTAATGATGTTGGTTTTATCGTTGCTTTTAAGATCTTAACAATCTACATTAATCAATTACTTTGGTTGTATATCACAAAATGTGGCCCTTCGTACTTAAACCTGAATCTAATATATGCCAGAACAACTGTTGTTTGAGAATTCGACAAGCCTGATATAGCAACAGTGATTGGGGCGGAGCTATCTGCTGGTTTGACCAATAGCATGTAGGGAGAGTTGTTCAGTAGACCTGTTTGAAGGTTTGAATGCTGCTGGTTTTGTTATTTTTCAGAAGGTCTTGACAATTTATAACTAAAATGACTAATATACACTACCGGTCAAAAGTTTGGGGTCAATACATTTGTTTTTAAAGACTTTTCTTCAGTGAGGATGCATTAAACTGATCAAAAGAAAAAAAATCTATGTCAAATAAATGCTGTTCATTTGAACTTTTGATTCATCAAAGAAAAAAATACATCACGGTTTCCACAAAAATATTAAGCAAGCAGCACATCTGTTTTTAACATTGATAATAATAATAAATGTTTCTTGAGCAGCAAATCAGCATATTAGAATGATTTCTGAAGGATCATGTGACACTGAAGACTGGAGTAATGATGCTGAAAATTCAGCTTTGTCATCACAGGAATAAATAACATTTTTGAACATATACAAATAGAAAACAGGTCATTTAAATTGTAATTAAACTTCACAATAGAACCGTTTTTACTGTATTTTTTAATCAATTATATTCAGCCTTTGCAAACATAAGAGTTTCCAACCCCAAACTTTTGAATGGTAGTGTCACACAAAGTGGGATCTTCATACTTAAAGATGAAGTGTGTGATTTCGTCAGACATCTATAAGTGCATCTGTTTGTTAGACATCTATAAGTAAATCATCTGTAGGTCGATTTCCATAAAAAGTGTAAACACTGACTGTGAATCTGTGGTGTTTTCAAAAGTTTGTTTTGAGAATCCCAACCAGCCATCCACAGCAACAGGGGCTCAACCAATGACGTGAATTTGGGGCGGAGCAATCAGTTTGTTTAACCAATGGTTAACCAGTGTTTGGTTTGATTTTTTACTGCTTTGAAACATTTAAAAATGCTATATTATGTGTGTTTACTCTGTGGCGTATTCATTCATTTGATTCACCCTGTTAAAAAAGGAGCCATTTTCTATTCAGCAGTAAGACTGTTGACTAGTCATCTTTTATGTCATTTTGCAGATATCTATTTTATCCACTGAAAATGTCACCGCGAACAATTAGCCCTTTTTAGACAACCTGCGAGGAAGGTGGAGGCAAGAAATGAAGATGACTGGCTAAGGTAAAAAGGCTCCCTTGAGTTCATAATCAGGGTTTGACATGTCGCACTGAACCATCTCAAATTCCCATACAAATCTTACCGGCTTGGCTCACTCATCCATGGACTAAATGAGAAAAATTACAGACTTTGCCAGTTCCCTTAAAATCCCATTTACATTCTGTCAGCTCTTATTAAGGGACGAGGATCGTGACAATGGGCAAAAATATGCATGGGAGAGAAATCCAGCCCCAGTCCATCACGGTAATTCCGACCCTGCTTACCAAGGCGGCAGTTGATTTCTCCTCAATTTGGGCTTCCCTTCCCGCAAGCTGCACACTAAACAGGCCCTGATAAGCACCCAGCCTGAAAACCAGCTTTAACAATATCATACAATTACAAGCATCAGTAACAGTATCAGCCATAGATTAGAGGTACTAAATGCTGAGCTATGAATAAATTAGCCACAGTTTTTCGCCTAAGCAGAAAGATTCGAAAAAGAATGAAAGGACAACAAGGCAGGCACTTTGATTTTCGTGGCCCTGCGCCTCGGCTGATAGTTTTCTGGAAATCATTTTGAATGACGCAGATTATAATAGATTTCCAAAATAATCCGGATTATCGCAGTCATTACAGCCACATTTGATAAACGGAAAAAGTCTTGTGGTCACACGTCATTATGTGCGTTATGGCTCAAAGCGGGTGGCGATCTTATTTCAATTAAAAATCAACGTGATGCCTCTGTTTACTGAACTCTTTAGACAAAGACGTCATCTGCAATTCAAATGATTTTAATCAGTAGACACAGAGGCACAAACATTGATGGGATTGCCTCATTCGTTTAGCAAAATGTCAAAGCAAATCGTCGGGTCTCAGCTGTGTTTGTGAACAAACTCCATGTTTCAGATTTGCAGGAGATTAAAAAGAGATGAAAAGCAGTGAATGTGTAATTGTGTGAAATCTAAACCCAGGGCCCTTTTTATAGTGCAAATTTCTGATTAAGGCAAAACTAAAGGAAGAACTCCCCGCAATTATCGATAATTGCGAGTGGGCAATTATGTATTAGCATGATAAAAACAACTGGACACATAAAGGACGACAACTTTGCACCTGAGATGAACGCGAGTGGAGGGTTGTGGTTTGCTCGCGAGTTAGGCGGATGTTGCTTCGAGTTCCTCCAGGTCCTTGTGGTGAATTATGGTCTGCCCTTCAAGCAGTCACACACGTCCGCCATTAATCATGTTTGGCCAGTGTCCCCATTCTCAAAAGAGGTCTGGAATGCGTTTCCAAATCTTACTGAGACCCGGTTGTCACCCTACCTGTCCACCCTCAGCCCCTTGGGGTCCTTCATACGAGACCATAAAGATGAAGAGGAGGCGGTGACTTTGTTGAGGGAGATATAGTTTCCAATGGGAGCAAGCATACTTCTTACTGAAGGGTGTTGCCCAGGCAAGTACTTTGAGGGTCACGCAGGATGAAGTAATGTTTTGTAAGAATTAATTGAATTGTTCACTGAATACACGGTCAGCATAAGCAGGACCGATGAAGCATGGAGGCAGCGTGTAACAGTGCGACCTCTTAAGGGAAAGTCTTTGAACGAGTCCTGGAGTATCCTATACAATAACAAATGATGTCTAAAGATTCTCCTTCCCTCATTTAAGCATGACGTATTTGCCATTGCTACTAAACTAAAGGTCAAAGATATGTCAATGTTATTCAGCTTCTGAGAGCTAATCTTTAGGATTAATGGAGAATTTTCTAAAAGTTGCTACATATACTGAATTTCACAGATCTAGAGGGCTGGCCGTGGAATATGTGAGGCCCCAGGCAAGATTATAAAAAAAATTTTTTGTGCATAACTAGTTCTATAAATGTTTATTAAAACAACAAGGCTGCAAATCATACGTGTACATTATCATACATTATTCTGCATAGGTGTAGATCATAATCAGAAAATACTTGTGCATTGAAATCACATCGGAATGATTGTACAAGTTGTAGTGCACATAAAAGCCAAGAAAGCCAAGTCATAACTGAGAAACTTGGTCTTTATAGCCCTTTAAACATACTGTATCATATTTGATACGCACATTTCTAAGGCCTCTTAATTATCAACATGATCAAAACTTTGCTGAAAAGCTGTTGTACTCAATCTACTGCATTCTGTCGTCTGATTGGTAGTTTATACGTTTTTAGCAAGTAAAAGACCTTTTAGTATAATTGTAAAAACAACCACCTTCTGGTCATTGTTCATGTGTATGTTTGCTGTGAAATATTTCTTATAAAGTAAACACAAGGATAACTTTTATATTGTTAGTAATATTTCAAGATGAACACTGAAGAAAAAAACGTGTTAAAATGCAAGTATGAAATATGACCCATCAGGCTTTTGAGGAACTTTATTTGTTCATCTCTTAATCATCATCATTTTTGCATTGCATTACATGTTTTTTTTTCCTCAACAATAAAAACTACAGAGCTTTGATC